TCTTTTTTCATCTACTTAATTAGGCGACTCAAGTGAGACAGTGGGGTGGAGAGATAAAATTCAGTTTTTTTGCTGGGGAGTCTCACTGGATGCTTACTTGCTCCAGAAAAAGCAAGTCCTCTTGCACTTGACTCCACTCCCTTAGGGACAATGAAGACTTCCTGGATCACCTTACAGATTGTTAAGTGATAACCATGTGATATCTGGGCGATGGGGTTATATTGAGATTTTAATGATCTCTGTGTTTTTCTGTCTTTACCAAATTTCCTACAGTGAGTATGTATTTCTTGTATAATGGGTGGGGGGACCCAACCAACCCACTGTTCTGAAAATATGTCTTTCACCCCCAGAGTGCATTTCAGCTTTATGTGTATCAAGTATACTGAGAGGTGCATGATGGGCCTCCTCTTCTTCCACTCAATGTAAGTCAGAAGGAGGTGGGACCTGAGGACTAGTTGGGAAGCTAAAGCTTGCATGCCATTTTGAACCATCTTGAACTAAGGGGAAAGGGGGAGTTGTGGTTTGGGATTATAAAGGGCAGGAAGGCAATTTACATGGAAATGGAAAAACAAATACTTGGTAAAGTAATGTTTGTCGGGCCATCTTTGACAATGGCACACAGACAGGACTGTGACCAAAAGGGCACAGCTAGGTTCCTCCCTGTGTACCACAAACTAAAAATTAAACTACAGTTATCTGTAATGATAGCTCCCTTCCTGGAGTGGCAGGAAGGGGTAAGGTCAAAGATTCTGAGTCTTTTGTTACTTAAAAATAATCAGCTTAAAATAATCATTATCCCAAATAGGTACATTTGGGAGTGACAAACTCTGCTTCTCCTTGTCACCAAATGCAGTCTAGTTTGGAGGGGTGATGAATCAATTGTCATTTCACACTGCCGTAAGTGGAGGGCCTTGGGAACCTTTTTTCTTCCTCTTCCAGTGGTGAGAGACCCTTTCTTCCCATGCGGGAAAATGTAGTTTGTGAAGCCAGAAAAATTGATTCACATAGAAATACAGTCACTGTAAAAGTTCCAGAAGGCTGGACAAACAACAGGGCTAGTAATTTTAGTCTTACAGTGATTATAGTTGTGTTTAGGAAGAAACTCCTCCCTTCCTGCCCTCAATAACTCCTCCCCTCCCCTGGTCCATTACTGTTCTCACTATTTTTGCAAGGCCAAAGACTCTCTTAAAATGGAACTTCCTTCCTTTTAGGAATCAAGTGTAAACATTTACTCTGAGGTCTGTAACATGCTCTTTTTCCTTGAATGACTATTAGTCTTTTAAAAATTATTTATTGATTTGAAAGAAAGAGAGAGATTTGCTGTTCCACATATTTATGCACTCATTGGTTGATTCTTGTACGTGGCCTCCCTGGGGATCCCAGCCTTAGCACCTTGGCATATTAGGATGACGCTCCAACCAACTGAGCTACCCAGCCAGGGTTAACTCTTAGTCTTGAGCAATAATCTTAGTCTTTGGGATTACAGGAGAGTGCTGGGTATTTATCCACACTTTTGAATACAGAAGTTAATATTCCTGCCTACATAATCAGGAGCTGACTAAGGGGAATGTTTCTCAAGGTCCTTTCTCCTTTCACTTCCAACAACAAAGGAGAATCATAGGATTACAGAATTGCAAGAAACCTTTACAGATTCTGTAACACACCTCTTCATTATGCAGATGAAAAAGCTAAGGGTCACAGTCCCTTATTGCAGTGGCTGGCACCCAGTAGGTACAATATTCAGCAACTATTCCTTTATTATTTCTGACCTACGTTGTTCAGAACAGCCAGTCTATATTGGAATATGAGGTTCGCAATTTAAAAACTGTTTCCTTTCCACTCTATCTCACTGAGTTATGTACTTCCATTTGGTTTACTATAAAGTCATTATAGCCATAAATTTAACAGCTTTATTGAGATATAATTTACATACCACACAGTTCACCTTTTTAAAGTGCACGACTCAGTGCTTTTAGTTTATTTAGAGCCATGTGTCCATCACCACAATCAATTTTAGGACATTTTCATTACCCCCAAAACAAAGCCCATACACATTAACCGTCTTATTTTCCCTCATTCCCCCATTTGCCCTAGGCAACCACTACTTTCATATGTGGTTCTTTGTGCCTGGTTCTGTTACTTAGCATAATATTTTCAAGGTTCATACGTATTGTAGCCTGGACTTCATTTTTTACATAGATTTTCACTTTTAAAATATTAAAAAAGTATATTTATTGATTCTAGAGAGGAGAGAGAGGGAAACATGGATTGGTTGCCTCCTGCATGAGCTCCAGCCAGGGGCCAAACCCACAACTTAGGCATGTGCCCTGACTGGGAATTAAAACCCGTGACATTTTGGTGCATGGGATGACCCCCCAACCAACTGAGCCACACCCGCTGGGTGACTTCATTTTTTTTATTGCTGAATAATAAATATTATATGTATACATGGTATTTTATCTATTCAACAGCTGATGGATTATTTGGCTGAATTTTATTTTAAACAAATATGATCTCTGATAGCCAGTAGGAGCTTCAAATCTAGACATGAATATTTATCTCATATCATTTTATGTTGAATTTATACTAAAAAAAGCACACTTAGTATGATTTTATTATGTCATACCTGAAAATCAACATTTTCTTTTCTCTAAGTTTTCTGATGGGTATGTTAATATTGTGGAAAGACAAAGTAAAATCTTGCCCAAAGTTTTTCTGCTCATTTGACTCCAAAGGAAAACAAAGTCTATGTAGTTTGTGTGACAGCCCTCTGGAAGAGAAAGAAGACAAAACAAAAATCCAGGGATGTGGGGTATGAGGGGACTAAATGGTAATGGGAAAAAATTAAAAGACTATACATTTTATTTTTTAATAGTGTTCTCTCTTTTTTTAGATTTTATTTATTTATTTATTTATTTATTTATAGAGAGCAGGGGAGGGAGAGAGGGAGAGTAACATCTGTGTGTGGTTGCCTCTCATACGCCCCCTACTGGGGACCTGCCTGCAACCCAGGCATGTATCCCAACTGGGAATTGAACAAGTGACCCTTTGCTTCACAGGCCTGTGCTCAATCCACTGAGCTATACCAGCCAGGGTTAAAGATCATATATTTTTTAAAAAGAAAAAAAAGATCCAAAGCACGACTCTTTTTTCCTGGTTTCAAATGTGAGGTTTAGAAGAAAAAAGTCATCATTTGGGGCTCACACCCAACAAGGTCATTGGCCTTGCTAAGATCCAGCCATATACACAAACAATATAAGGACGGTGTGGGGGAAGGGTGAGAAAGGGGGACAGTACAGACCACAAATTCAGCCCCATCTGACTTTATATAGCTTAGTATTTTCATTTTTGTCTTTGTGTTTATAGGTTGGCCCTTGCTCAACCTCCACATGTTTTCGTGGGTCTCCAGATGTGTCCAGATTGGGAGACTTAGTTCTTGCTTGGTAGGAAGAACTTGAACTTGTAAAGGCCAAGTTGGGGATATTTGTGATTCTGGGAGGTGGCTGCTTCCCCCACTAAACACTTGTTTATCCAAGCCCTGCCCCTGGCCAGCCTCAGAACTCCTGAGTCACCTGCTGCGGAGAGAAGGGGCTTTTGGGAGTGACTTCCGTTCCATTCGCAGAAGCTAGATGAGAATGCCAATGCCAGGAAGGGACTCTTGACTCAGGCCGGCCTAAGGCTTGGGTGCTGTGTCATTCCCCACACGTGATGCTCTCCTAGGCGGCGAAGACCTCGCTTATCACGGGGCTTTTCATCCCAGTTACACTACCCCCTTTCTTCTCTAGTTCTCAACCCCGCACTTCCCCGCTCCGCCTCCTTTCCAGACCTTAGGAACCGAGAGAGGCGGGAACCAGGAAATGCCACTCTCCCAAGTTGGCCGGGGAAAGCCCAGAAACTCAGTGATTGGGAAAGTGCCAAGATCTGGCGTTACATTATCCTTCTCCAGAATGCTTTGCACTTCCTGTCTTAGTCTATCCTTACTCTCATTATCCCCATATGGGATCTATTGATCTATCCTATTCGAGACCGCCTTATCACTCAGATCTTGCCTTAGTTACTGCTGCTTTCTCTGTCCCTCTGTTTTCCACTTTTCTCTGAGCCTGCAATTCTCAATCAGAACTGGTTTGAGCCTCCGATCAGCCGCCTTCCCGTTCTAGATGAGTGACCTTGAGGGAAACACAACTTTTCTGGGCCTACTTTGCTTGTCCGTAAAACGGCGGCCAAACGTCTAACTCACGACGCCTGCTGTGAGGAACAAATGAGAAACTCCTTTGTGAGCTGTAAAAAACAAGAGAAATGTTAGGTACATTAATCCTGGACGACTGGTTACCCTTCCAGAACCCCTCCCTTTCCTTTGGGACCCGCCCAGCAAATCCCGCCTAGTGCAGGCAGGCCTCCCCATCCTCCTCTCGCGGTCTGCCCCATTGGCGAACGCAGTGTCCGCGCGGCGCCGGGTGTTGACGCCTGGTTCCGCCTCCGCCGGCGCACGAGGACGCATAGGCCCCTCCCCTAGCCGCCCAGGGCCTCCCGCGGGGCCCCGCCTTTCGGGCTCACACGGCGCGGGCCCCGCCCCACGTGTGACGTAGGGTACGGGTGTTCCCGACGCCCAAGCAGTTGGTGCAGCGGCAGTTGGAATGAGTGCGCTTCCCCAACTCCTCCCCTGCTCCTGCCGGGGCTCCCAGTCCGCTGGGCCCAGCCCCAGCCCCAGCCCCAGCCCCGCCGATCCCTTGCGGGGCCGCCCTGACCCCTCAGTCTGCGACACCTGACCCCGCCTCCGCGGAGGCCCGGAGACGAGTAGGCTCCGCCTCTGGCCGCGCCTGGTCTCCCGCAGGCCCCGCCCCTCGGGCCGACGCGGTGCGGGTACCGCCCCGCGGGTGACGTGTGGTGCGCGCGGCCCCGCCGCCAAGCAGTTGGTGCAGCGGCGGTTGGGCTGAGTGCGCTCACCCCACCCCTCCCCTCCTCTGGCCCGAGCCCCCACCCCGTCGGGCCCAGCCCCAACCCCAACCCCAGCCCCAGCCCCGGCCGGGCCGGTGTGCGGGCCCGTGCTGCCCCCTCAGTCGGAGACGCCCCCGGCCGCCCGCCCGCCACCATGGAGCTGGAGGACGGTGTGGTGTACCAGGAGGAGCCCGGCGGCTCCGGGGCCGTGATGTCGGAGCGGGTGTCTGGCCTGGCCGGATCCATCTACCGCGAGTTCGAACGACTGATCGGGCGCTACGACGAGGAGGTGGTCAAGGAGCTGATGCCACTGGTGGTGGCCGTGCTGGAGAACCTGGACTCGGTGTTCGCACAGGACCAGGAGCACCAGGTGGAGCTGGAGCTTCTGCGGGACGATAACGAGCAGCTCATCACCCAGTACGAGCGGGAGAAGGCGCTGCGCAAGCACGCCGAGGAGGTGAGGGCCGGCCGGCCGGTGGTGAGGGCGGGGCCGGGTCCTAGGGCGGCCAGGGGTCGCGGCCCGCCGGGAGGGTGGGCGCGCCGGCGTCCGGCCTCGTGGAGGCGGGTCTGAGGCCGAGGCTCCAGAGCCCAGCCCGGCGGCGTGAGGTCTCCGGGACCCCGGGCCCCGGTGTTGGAAGCCGGGGGAGGCTAGTGAGCGTCCAGGAAAAGGGAGTGAGATTAGGAAGGCAAGGCCCGGGGAGGAAGCCGCAGTCTGGCCTGAGGGTACAGGGGTTTGGCTGCGGTAGGAGATTTTAGAATGTCTGGTTGCCTTTTGTAGTTTAGGGAAGTTTCCGACCACCTTAGGACAGTCAGATGGCCGTTCAGACTTTTACCATGGGGGGTTGTGCTTTTAAACACTTCTGTCCTGGATATGTAACTTTCTCTGGTTTCATTGCCTTTCCGAGGGTTACTGCTTTGGGAAGTTAGAGACCTCCCTCTTTCGGTCAGTTTCTTCTTGACGTTTTAACCCTGTTGAGAAATAGGTTTCATTTTATATTTTACTTGCTTTGGTTGACACTTTGTTAACACTTGGGTGTTGTATAGCAATACTCTGTAAGCATAGAGAGTATACAATTTTATTTTATTGGTGTCCCACACCAAAGCATTCCTTCGTATCAGGTGGTAACCTTGGACAGTTCCCTTTAAAAACCCTCTGTTTGTTTATGAAGAGGACTTGCGGGGGCGGGGTTGAGGAGATGGTAGGTGACTATTGGCAACCCTTTTCAGACTGCAATTTCCAGGTGTACTTGGCCCGCTGGTAAGGCTAACACCTCAGCAGTGACCTCAGTGCCCTCACCAAGGTCCGTGAACCTTTTGGAGTGCAAGTGATAAGTCTTTGACTTTTTGAGACAGTCCAGGATTTTTAGCTTTCAGGCTGTCTTGGCCTGAAACTGCCTAATTTAGGCGAAGTGTCCTATTCATCTTTGTTCTCTGAGCATCTAGCAACACCTAGCTAAATACATGGTCATGGAAGGAATGGCATGTTACCTTTCAAAGATACTTGAAAAGTTTTTAGGATCTGAGGTTTCTTTAGTCGCTCATTTCCTCACTAAGAAGTACCACTATTTAAACTTTTGTCGCTGCTACCCCTCTTTGTACCAGGTCAGATAGGTCTTTTTCTTTTTCTTTTTTAAGCTTGACTGTAGTGATGATGCTTAGTTCTGATTTTTGTGATCCACTTGCCTCAAAGGAATGCCATTGAATTTGCCCAACAAAATTGACATTATATTAGGAACTTATGGGGAAGGAGGAGTTGCAAAAAATCTGAGGGAGGGATAATAATTTCCACTAGTTTATTAGCACTGTTTATAGAACAGAGATCAGTACACTTCTGAGATGGCGTGCCATGTGCTCAGACAGGCCATTGCCTATGTGTGGAGTACCTGGGGAGAGAGAGACTGGGGAATTCCCTCACACACACAGGTGAGGAGCAGTCCCAGCATGGCCTGTAACCTTGAGTGAAAGAAATACTCTCTCCACCCTTCAATTCCTGTCAGTCTGTGTAAATACGGGCAAAATGCCAGGGTCACACAGGCCAAGAAAACCATCTGCCACAGGTTGCAGACTCAGAAAACAAAACTAACTGCTAGAGTCTGGATTGTGTATTAATTTTTTAAGTAAATGACTTAAAAAAGAGGTTATCCAATGACTTTTGTAATTTATAATTTTTCAGACACATCTATAAATGCTCTATGAAACCTTTGGGCAAAGGGCCATGACCTGAGACTAGAGACCATTGGTGAAATGTAGATGAGCCAACTCTCAGACCACAAACATAAAGTACCTTGTTATCAGTTTTCACGTAAGATCATAATTCAAGTATTAAAGTATTATTGGTACCCAGAAATTTCAGTCTCTTAGGCCAATATGCAGAAGTGAATTTTGTGTTTAATGTTCTGTGAGTGTTTTGAGTGTGGCCTTAATATGGAAACCGAGTCTGTTGTTACAGCAAAAGTATTTGAAAGTCTGGAAACTGCCTGTCACCAGAAAGTGTTAAGTAAATTCTGAGCACCTTTGTGGAAAGTTAAGAGGGTACATAAACGTGAGAATGTTTTAGGAGGTATGAAGTGCTATAATAATCTCTTGCTTGCAGGAATTCTCAGCAAGGAATTAGAAATTTACTCTTTATTATAGTGATATTACTTGAGTTGAATACCTTCTGTCTTTTTCTTTTATTGGCATTTTTGTGTGTGTGTGTGTAGAGTTAGGTGCTGTTTTTTTATTTATTTAATTTGTATTGTATTTTTCCCCATTACCACTTAGTCACCTTGTACAGCCCCCCATCCCCATCCTGTGCTGCTGTTTTGTGAATCAGCCTGCAGGAGTACCGATTTTTTGTGTGACCAGTTTCAAGTGCGAATCAAGAAATCTATCTTGCCCTGACTGGTGTGGCTCAGGAGGATGAATTCCGTCCAGCAGACCTAAGGGTCCCTGTGTGGATTCCTGGTCAGGGTATATGCCTGGCTTGTTGGCCAGGTCTGTGGTTGGGGCGTGTGGTAGATTTGTGAGAGTTGCATAACCAGCTGCTAGCACATCCATGTTTCTCTTCCTCTCTTTCTCCCTCCCTTCTCCTCTCTATACAAATAAAAATATTACAAATAAATAAATACATGGTTATGTTTTTGTTTTTTTTTTTAAGAAACTTATCTTATTGTCTTATTGATCATCACTTGCCCCTTTGGGCTCCCTGCTCTGGCCATGTGTGTTTTGGGCTTTTTTTTTAAGATTTTATTTATTTACTTTTAGAGAGAGGGGAGGGGAGGGAGGAGGAGAGGGAGAGAAACATCAACGTGTGATACATTGATCCGTTGCCTCTGTACACCCCCAACTGGGATCCTGGCTGGCAACCCAGACATGTGCCCTGGTTGGGAATCGAACCAGCAGCTTTTTCATTCGCTGCTGGCTCTCAATCCACTGAGCTGCACCAGCCAGGGCAAAAGTGAGAGTTTATTTAGTGTGATTGGATGGAGGAAGATGGCACATAAAATGAAGATGCACCCACTTCATCTCCCTTCCCTCCTTCCTTGACTGATAGAAGCATAGATAAAGAGATTGGGCTGGAGAGAGAACTTTGCTGGAAAGAAAATGGTGATTTTGTGACTGTTGTTCTATGACTTTTTGCCTAAAAAAACTTGGGGTAATTAAATGCAGAGGTGAAATACACTATTGAGAATTTTCTAATTAACTTTTCCCCAATGAGTCAGCACTTAAAGCACTAGCAAAATCAATGCTTTATGTGAAGACTGCAATCAAATGGTTTTCTTTGGAAGTGTGTGAACTTGGGAATGATAAGATTCGTGGGCAGAGAAACAGGTGTTGAGAGTCAGTGTTCTTTCTATTGATGTTGTACTTCTCATTCATTCATGAAAATACTGTAACTAAAACTTGAAGTTATTTTTGATTTGTTTGCAAACTAATTTACAATGACTGTTAAGTTCATCTCTTTAACAAACACTTAAAAAGGAAAACTTGAATCTTTCTGTTTTGTGACTATCAAATGGCAGGAGTAAAGAGTCGTTTTCCATGCTTACGGCTTTAATTTGCTGGTGGTTATTGAGGACTTAGGAAGTTAAGAAGCTGAAATTTTACTTTTACTTCAACATTATTTTTTGCCTTTAGCATAGTTGTTATTTAAGTTAGTGATTCTGTCAGTTCTTTAGATTTTTAGCCTTAATTCTATCAACTCTAGTGTCCTAAGAATGGAATGTTGCTGTAGTAGGTTTTCTTTCACCGAAGCGGAGCAGCAGGGGAAGAAGGGTCGTGTAGTGAGTTGCAGAGGTGACCCGTCAGCAGTTGACAGATTGCTGATCCGTGAATGGTAGTTAACATTTGACATCTTACATGTTTGGGTATGCATGTTATTAAAGTTTTCAGATGCTTTTTAAAAGTGAAGTCCCTCTCTGTGGTTCCTGTTAAGTGTTTTTGAAACCAATATCTTGTGGTATCTTCAGTGAACTAAAAAGATTTTTAGTTCAAGAATTGACTCAGGTGCTTGCTTAATTTTCTCTGTGGGTTTAGTTAGTGCAAGGGTCAGCAGCTTTTCAGAGTGTTGTCTTAATTTATTCATTCAGGCTTAAGTTTAAGACTGTTCAGGCTACATTTTAGTGCTTGGTTGATCTCTGTATTACCTAAAAATACTAATAAATTTAAAAACACACTTTTTGAAAAACATTTTCATATTCTAAAAATTACCATTGTTTTTTTTGCTGAGGCATTTGAATAAGCTGCACACTGCCCCTGCCCAGAGCAGCTATGCCCTTGCCCCTAGTCAGTTCCTAATTCCAGACACTTTCTGAAATGAATGATCTGTTTGTTCTCTGAGGGTGTCTGTGTAGGTGGTGGTGGTGGCAGTGGCAGCAGAGGTGGCGGTGCTTTTCGGAGTGGTGCTAAGTTAATCATTATTTAGCCCTTAAGACAGATCTTATCCTTTCTTTTTCTTCAGTTTTCTGAATCCAGGTGTGTAACTGAGATACGATGATAATGCCCTTGCTGTAGCAATACTTACATTTTTACTTAGTTAAAATTACACACACAAAAAAAGCAAAAATGGGTAAAGTATCTAGATGGATTAGATACCTCTCATCAGAGGATGAATTAGTAGAGTAAGGACTACTCATTAGATTACTTTCATATGTGTCATAGGTCACAGATCCAATTCTGTGCCTATGCTTGGTTTGGTTTCTGTTACTTGGACTTCTTAGCTTACCTTTAACTACATGCTGCCTACTTTAATCATATGGAAACGTAGGTTCCCAGGCGAGCTTGTACTAGAATCTGGCCAAGTGTGTGTTCTTTTGTTCTGTTGACTAATGGCTGAGTTATTTTAAAAACACCTTTTTGGCTGTGCTCAGCACTCATTATGAGTACAGCTGTTACCTAAATAATTAGGTTGAGATTAAAAAATATGTATCAACATAGGCCCAGTTTAATACTATATGTAATGTGTCTATTCAGAAA